ATCTTTTACGAACGTCTGGGTTTAACGCGCGGTTAAGTGGAGTTTTTGGCTAGAAAATTGCTCTTTCGAGGCCAGAAGAACTGGGAAGCTCAAATTAAGGGGGATGCTACGTGTCCGTGCTTGTCACTAAAAATTTTAAGTTTAGCTTTCATATTTGTCCATATTTAAAATACAGACATGTGAAGCTTGACGAGAAATTTTCCAACTTCGAAACCAGACAGGGTGGGAAACTGAAACTTCAAGAACATGTTTTCCGACCATCTACTTTCGCCAGGGATTTTAGATTCAGCTTTCACGTACGCCTAAGTCTCATGTACGTGCTATGAAAGTTTTGGATAACTGGGGCGTCCTGATGGTATCTGCAGATATCGAACAATAAAATAGTAAAAATTTTTAAAAGTAAGCGACCGCTAGACAGAACTGCACAAGACGCATGCTCACCAGCTGTATGGGTGTACACTGCTATTTATTTTTATAGGCTTGAACTGTGCAATTCAGGAAGATTGTGAAAAGTTACCTTTGGATTGATTTTCTGCTCCACTTCATGCTTTAAAATATGCAATAAAAGTGTCAGACCCTGTAAGCAATTTTGAAAAAATTCCTCCAAAAACGTGGATATGTTGATCAATGGTTGCTCGGTTTTGTGACGTTATAAATTCCGATTTTTATGTGAATGAGACAAATTTGCAACGAAACAGGAACCGTTCTGTAAAGATTGCTTGTTTGAGGTATACCTAAGTAGTAAATCCTGAATTGAATGTTGGCTGACCTGGATCAAGCTCAAAACGGAAAGTCCCAACCAAACACCAATTGATCCGCCAATCTCGGCGATAAAACTTGTCACCGTATAAACCCTGTTTTGTTCTAGCGACAAATATTCAAAAGAGCGCCAGTTCAACGTTATCATTGTTAAATCTGTAATGCTGAATTAATTTTATACTTTTTCGTGGACCATTCACGAATGGTATTCACAATTTAGCCCGTTCTATTCGCCACGAATCCCCACAGTTTCGCCATCGCAGTTTCTGGGTTCTAATCTCTGCGGTGGCTTTCAGTTGTACCCGGCAGTTCTGTAGTATTGGATGGTGCGATCCTAACATATTCATCTCTTTATTTTAAATTTTCTGTGCTTTTTAATGATTTCCTGGAGTAGCTGTAGCAGGAATTCGACCATGGAATTGTGAAACAGCAGCGGCATGAGCGACACCGAAGTGACATGCCTGTCCTCCTAACATCTCTTAGTATTTAGGAAATCTCACTTACCGCATAAGCCTCCAACAGCCTGACCAGCAGGTTAATCTCAGAGAAAAGTCAACAGCTCTTACAAGTTGAAGAGACTGAAACGGTTCTATGTGTGAAGGATGATGTAGCAAATCGAAATACAGCAGAGACGCCTAATGAATTCGAATTATGATAGAAAATATACTGCTGTTTAACATGGGTCCCTTGATT